ATAAGATGTGCCAGGGAATAAGTCGCCCTTCCCCTCCACTTGCAGCTACACAATTGATATGGCACATTTGGTTCTGTCCCCGTGGACACTGACTTGGACAGCGTTGGACAGCCTCCTGAGTGATTGACTGCACCGGAGGCTGGCAGAGACATGGAGCCCTCGGTAGCCTCTCAGGATTCCCAGGCTCTTCGGCACATGCTTTGGTAAAGTGATCCTTTGTTGCTGATGCTCTTCTAAACAGCGTTGTACAAGCTGGAATAAATGCGTGTATGAAAAGGGGTAACCCGGCTGGCAGCAGAGCACACTGGCATGCTATTGACGAGAAAGACCTGTAAACCAAAGTACGCAAAATGAAATGGCCCAAAACCCTAAAAGCAGACCCAAAGGTCATCATTTTACTTCCCCTACGGGCTTAGGGAAGGGAAAAAGAGCAGGAACTTCATGCCAGCCCCTCAGACTAGGTATGGTCTGCTCCAGTACAGATCTTTACTTGCATCCCTACCAAGATTGCCTGGACCCTGGCACTCGACGCCGACGGGGTCGGCGCAGCTATCGCCTGCACTGAAGCTTACATGCACATATTCTTCAAAATCCTATTGTAGGTGTGGGGCCCTATAAAACCAAAACGTTGATGCCTCTATAGGGATCATGTTCAAAATTCAAATCATTTTCAAGCTTACACTGATAATCCACATCAGATCTTGTATAAAGAAGCCTGCAAGCAACGGTCAGAAGTACTTGTGAAAGACTCCTTCACTCCATGCGGCATATTGCATATTATGGTCCCTGATCGAAGAAAAAAAAAGGAATACCTTTTTGGGGTTCCCCATGATAGTAAGGATTGCAGTATTCTGGGGTCTATATTGGGGTCCCCTTATTTAGGGAAGCTACCAGGTACTTTCCGTACCCCGCCAATTGGGAATCTTCGAGTTCACTCAAGTCCTTTCACTTTGCAGCCTCCGCCATCAGTCCGACCAGCAGGACTCCATGGCATGTGAGGAACTGGTTTGGATTTAGGGTTTAGAAAGGTGGGCTGGGGTTGTCTGAAGGGTGTAGGAGGGCTCCATGCTGCTGAACACCTGACATAGAAGGAACGCAAAGAAGCACAGTATTTACAGAAGCTCAGACCAAGCAATGATGCTACAAAGGGTCGGGGAAAGTCTTCAGAAGTTATCAGACAAACATCACGTTGACCTCCATGCGCTGGCTTGCGTGGAGCATGATTTGTTGGTTTCATGCAACTTGCCGGTATGCGTTCTTATGATCTTGACAAGACAGAAGCAGCAGAACCGTGCACATGAATCGCTTCAAGCTCATCACCTGCTCACAGAAAAAAGGCTACGCGAGGCTCTAAACCTTGCCCCGGTAGGACTCAGGAATCGGCATGCAAATGGAAGTTTCCAATGCATACAGCAGTTGGAATCGCCAAGGGTATGGCAAAGCTTGTTAGGGCTCAGGGTGTGGTCGGGAAACATGCGTGGGCGGGCTCAGGGGATAAAGGATAGGTAGAGTTGGGGGCAAGGATAAAACTTACAAATGAGATAAAGTGACGCCCACAAGGGCACCAGGCGTAGGTTGAGGGAGACTTAAGGGATTCTAGTATCCTTTAAGGCTTGATTCATGGGCAACCTACATAGCCTAAGCCGTATATAGCCCCCTAAAACCCCCTACATAAACCTACATAACCCCCTGTTATTCCTTTAGGGGTATTGGGTTTTTTGAGAGGAAGGCATTGCCAGGTTCTGACAAGGATCCCAACCAAAGCGACAATCGCTACCAGGATGACCTTTGGCAGATTTCGGGGCCCCTTTCAGATTGCTTTTGGCTTTCTAGGGAATATGGGGGTTTCCCAAAGTTAGGGGGAACATATTGGGGGTCCCCATAATACGGGCTATAATATTTAGGGGTCTATATTGGGGGGACCAGTTTACCTAAAATAGGGATTGTAATCCACGATAAGCAAAAATCATTTGCAGGAATATCCCAGGATGAGGATACTACATTATGCCTGGGACTGAAGGAGGCGCAAAAGACGTGCGATTGAGGAGCGCAAACTTCCTGGTCAAATCCTTCACCCTCAGGCCCGAACCCTCAAAACAACAACCCTTTAGAACACTTTGGGACAAGGCTGTCTCTCGGATTTTCAAGGCGAACCCGTGCAAGGGAGGACTACGATTCAACGTAGCAGTTAACTGGTGCAAGCCTTAAATGTTTGTCCTGGTGCATGGGCTCTCCTCAAGTATTGTAGGATGCTTGTCCTGGTGCATGGGCTCTCCTCAAGTATTGTAGGATGCAAGACGGTCTTTACATTGAGGATGGGGGGTTCATCCTAAGGATTTCCGAGGTCAAGCCCAGGACATCTAGAATCATCTATCATGGGCTCCTCATCGCTCGTAGGCCTACACCTCAAGCGCTCACTCTTTTGCATTGGCAGGTCACACAGGCTTTGCAACCTTCCGCTTCTCTCTCTTGCCGGTCACGGGGCACTTCATGAATTGCCTCTCGGGACACAACTGCAGGGCCCTCCAGCCAACGAACAAGATGAAGAAACCAGAAGTCATTCCTCCGTTGACACAGTACGAGGGTTTGACATCGAAAGCATACAAATCAGACTTTCGTCAGCACGTCCATAGAAAGATGAAACAAAGACAATCCCACCCATGGCACAGCAAGAGTCTAGCTAGGCAAGTGTGCCAAAGATTTGACTTCTCTACGCAGCCAGGCATCACGTGCTGCATCAAGACCTTCAGGCCCCTGATGCCCAGCAAGTTGGTTCTATGGTTGCGCTTGCCTTCTGTGTCCATGATAAATGCTAAAGTTCAGGCTTCACCGTGTGCACCCACAGGTGAAGGCTTCTCCAGCCAAACTCGAAAGCGGAGAGTGCAGGGAACTTGTAGCACTTCTGCTTCTACTGAGCAATGAGAAGCGCGTGGAAGATGCTAGCTTCTGCTGCCTGTTCTAGGGCTTACTTGGGAACCACACAACCAGAAACAAGATAGTTGTTCCCAAGCAGCCACTTTTTGTCATAATGTAGGTTGTTTTGGGAACAACCATTTCATTCCTGGTTGTTTGGTTTCCCCGTGTGGGGCTTGTCAGCCTGTCCAACTGCTTTTCCAAGGCCATTCTCGTGCCTCATAGTCACAGGCCCCAAACCCAGTTTGCACCTACGACCTCAACCCAGAAGTATGTAGAATACTCGCATTTTGGCCTGTTTTGGAAGGGCCCACAAAAGGGTCATGTTTGAAACCATTATCGAGGAATTAAATATCGAGACTCCAGAACGCACGCCACAAATGCAGAGGCTGCGGACCAGCTGATGGGGACGAGTGGAGCCCCTGCCGCTGATCTGGCCAAGATGACCTTGCTCTATGCCGAAGGCTCCACGAAATCAAAATTAAGAACAAGCGATCATAGTAAAACCAGAAATACTCATCATAAAAGTAAACATAATAATAATGTATAGAAATAAACACCACCGTATAATTAAGTATGAGAATGATGGTGCAAGTGTCAGGGTTTCATAATCTGGGGGCCCAAATAGACACCCGTATCTAATAGTCCTCAGTGTGGGGGGACCCCTAATTTTGGAAACCCGATGTCGGATTTTAGTTCCGAAGTAGCTTCCAGACGTTTGGGCTGCGTGGTGTGCGAAACTTCTTGGTCCATGCATAGCGTCTTGGATTGAAGCAAGACCAGCTCGAAAGTATGTTTAACGAACTTGGTATGGACCTCCATCGAGTAAGCTGATGAAAACCAGAAATCCCAGTGCAGAAATCCTCGCCCAAAGTTTCTTGTCTTCAATTTAAGCAGACACAAAAAGAAAAATCTGTTTCTGGGAGTCCCTGTGCAGTGGGCAAGCCCCTCATACATCTCGAGCTCAGAATACCATGGACTACTCTCCCCCAAACTAGCTTGGAACCTGAAAGGGGCCTTTGTAGACTACTGTCCTGTGAAAGAGCCTTATGTGGGTTCCAGATTAGCTTGGGGAGGGTACTTAGTCACTGTTTTCGTGCACTTGTGGGGCTGGAGGGTCCACAGCTCACATCAAACTAGAATGCTGCGGACACCCAACACACGGAATCGCCCCCCTTCCGCTCTACTCTGGACAACCCGCGTGTGTCGGCTTAATCGAGTGCGGGCTCAGCATCAGATCTGTTGGACATGTGCTTCAGGTTTGTAGGCCTTCGGGCTTCCACGTGTTTTCATTTTGGCGTCTGAGGTTCAGAGTTTTTGGCGCTGCTCTTTAAATCGCAGCCGTGCGTTTTCTTTAGCTGCAAGTTTGAGGAGCGAGCCGATGCCAATTTGCACTGTCTTGCTCTGATCTGTTTTGTCGCATCCTCGTGCGAGTGATGGAGCTTCACTTCTGCTCGGCAAGGTTGATAGAGGAGCTGTACAATTCTCCAGCGGCTGTTCAGAGAGGCGCAACAAAGTCACATTGCAACCTGACAGGGCCCTCATGGCTGTCAAAGTCTGAACCTCCTCCGCGTTTCTTTACACTTGTCAGCAAGAGGTGTGAAAGCTGTCGTTGCGCATTGGCAACCTCTGTACATCCCAAGGAACTCGGCTGACCAGCGGCGCTCGAAGGCACCAGCGTTGGAACCCCAGAGGGCTTGGGAATTTGGGATTTGCGGAACCAAGTCTCTAGTGGCGATTTGGCCTGCGGACTTCTACGTACTCACAACACAGTGTGAGGTGTGATTCACTTGGTCTCCGCAACTAGTGTGGCGTGCGGCCACGAGCAATGAAATGAGCTGTACAAGTCTGTAGTCCATAAGAGGATCGACCTAGCACCGGGAAGCAGAGTGGTCGAGCACAGGGTCTGAGGCACTGGGTGGGGTCTGGAGGCTTGTACAGCTGACGGTCCAAGTACCCAAATATTGCGGATTTAGGTACGAAAGACCCAACTCATGGTACTTGGGACCTGAAATCCCATTATTGGGGTGCTTGGATCCTCCGGGCACTACAGATGCTTCCAGGGAACACAAGTGTCAGGCGCCTCTTCAGCAACCACCAAGCACTGCATGGCCGTGACCCGCCTGGCTAAGCCAACGGATCAGAGCAAGGCTCTCCTAAGGTTTGGTGCCCTAGAAAAGGGTTTAGGGTCGGACTACGGGGCCCTACTACAATTACTTGGGGATGTTATGCCCCGAAATGGAAAATCAAGTGGAAAAGAAATGGAGAATCAATTGGAGACTGGGATCAAACCGGCTAGGGTAGGTGTGGGTGCCCAATGCAAAGCCCGATAAGGGTCGACATGAAAAAGCTGCATGAGTGGTTCTTTCACTGCTTCGGGAATTGAGCAAAGGAATGGTAGATTCCTGTACAGATTATTGTACACAGACCGACGCGGCAAAAGGAGCCCGAACCTGCAACACTCGGCCAAGATCTGCGAAGCCCTGGATGTACTGGGACTGATTGAGGGACCCTAGAAGAATTCTTATGGGCTGTCTAAGGTTATAGAGGGATTATGGTCCACAATAGCACTGTAGGTAATGAGGGTTACAGGTAGCCCTTGTGTTGGCCTTGGCCATTGCCACGAGCTGCTCTGCCAACCGCGGAGCGCCACCAGCCAGCTCAGCTCGTGCGCTCTGCACTGCCTGGCAGACTCTGTTTGGGGATGTCCCAAAATTGGGGGGTCCCTTCTTTAACCAGCCAACCTGTTAAGAAAACAAAAGACTTTAAGAAAATCTAAGTATACCCATATTTCCTGACATAGCTGGATTTTATCAGAAACCCAGAAGATTTCAGAGGCACCTCAATGAAAAGCCTGGGCATTACCTGAGCATGGTTCACAATCCCAGGGTCGGGATGGGGAGTCTGAGTTGGCTGGTGATTCTGGGAGGCATAACAACAAGGATTATGTATTTTGGGGTATCGGGGTCCCCCCTTGACCTCCCCGCGGGCCTACTCGCAGGCCGTGTAGACTCCACACGTTGGATCACTGAAGAACCACTAACTTTGTCCGAAGAGGCCTGTCGGTATGCGCCGTCAGCGTCGCTAACTTGGCGAAGAGCCTCTGCTAGGGTCCCGCTGTTCACAGTCTCCTTGGACAGTAGACTCATAAACTCGGGTGCAGCTGCGGGGGTCGAGATTGCGTGCTTACGGAGAAGGCATCTGACTTGTATCTAAAGGCAACACGTGCAGCTGTTTGATCAGCAAAAACTGCTCTCATGATTAGTTTTGCCCTCATCACCATCCGTTTCACGTGCTTCCAATTCCGAGCAAGACTTCCATTACCTACTGGTGGTTCGTAGGAAATAGGGATATAATCCCTATGTCATCCCCATTTTTTATGTTCCCAAATTCCGATAAGCTTATTTCTGCAGATGCTGGGCGCCTTGGTGCCGGCGTGGCTTTTCGCAGAAAGTGCTGAAAACTCGCTAAAGCGAAGGTAGGTTTGTTCATTAATATGTTTTGTTTAATTGTTATTATGGGTTTTATACAAATACCCCAGAAAGGAACCGGCGCGAGTAATGGAAACCCAGCTGCCATGGGCTTGAAGAAGGCTCGTCCCCACCCACGCTCTTGCACCTGGCGGATTGAATTCAGCAGGCCCTCACTTGAGTGGAATAAGGGGTGGCCCTAGGCTTCCTGAAATCTTGGTCTAGAATGGCTGGAGGGGGTTCATCAAATTGAGGATACTTTCTTGGTGTTTAATCTGGACTAGCATTTTGGGGTCTATATTGGGGTCCCCCCATTTATGGAGGCTGCCATGTGTGCGTGGAATTTCTTGGGAGACTATAGCTGCTCAGTGCCCCCAACAAAGTGTTGCGCTTCAGCTTTGCTTGGTCTGCAGAATGCAGCACGTGCTGCGAACCATTCTTTTCTTGGGGTACGTGTAGTCAACTGCCTATGCTGCTTGCAGCTGCTGAAAAATGGCATGCAGAAATGCCTGTGTGGTGTACTTTGTGGTAGATTCACGGAAATTATGACCCAGTTTCTCTCGTACTTATAACCCAATTATGATCCCCTAAATGCCCTCGGGTTGCAAGAACAAGTTATAATGGGGTTACCCTGAACTTCCAAGTACATCTGAGTCACTGTTAGTGCTTATATTAGGACTACCATTTCTATTTCAACACCCTAAACTCTAAACCCTTCTTATAACCTTGTGTTGCAGTATGTGCTGAGCAAGGATTGCCTTCCTGGCATTCGCAGGTTGGTCAACGGCTTGAGGGATCGCCACCAGCGGGACGCCCGCCATCAGGCTTTCCTGGAACTGGAGGTGGTTGTGGGGGCCTACAACTGCAAATTCCAAGCATTCCTTAGGGGACTTTTAAAAAATCTGAGGAGACTACAGATAAAGGGTTTAGGGTCTAGGGGCCCTATAGAAATCGAAGTCTTATTTTATAAGTCTGTAAGGATTATAGTCCATAATGCCTGAATTTTCCCAGGAATAGCCCTAGGAACTACAGAGCTGTTGACTGAGGGTCTCGATTTCATGATGCAGAAGCCGTGCGTGTCTCATCTTTTGGTGCTCTTGCGCTGGGGGTTGGACTAAATGCAGCGAGAAGATACGAGAAGAATGCTTCGCAATGCAAGGTAGCCACTTCCGTTGTGCTCAAGAGTCTTCCCACATGAGATGCGCTCACATGCCCCCCTGTCAAGAGCTGGTTACTACATGCTGCAGAGAGACGAGACCTCTAGACCTTCTGAACAACTAGAGTCCTTGCAGCGTCAGCCACTGCAAGACTCAAGGCATTACACATGTTCCTATAGCCCTGCCCTGCCAAATTCGAGAAGGCGGCCTCGGAAGCAACTAAGTAGCAGAGCTGGTTCAGGGCAATATCAGGACCCATGGTCACGAGCAAGCTACATGTTTAAGCCCACTCCCACATGCTCTCAGACAGCATCAGCTGTAGACCAAGCATGTTGTTGACATTCTGCCAGTCCTGAAGGCTGTTGAAGCCAACATGCGAGATGAACACGGACGTATAGTTGTTCAGCATCTCCACCTGGAGCTGTTGGGTGAGGGAAGGGCTTCTGTTCAGGATCTGCTCGTGCTGAGAAAGCGTGGTGTGTAGAATCAGTGTAGGAGCAACCGGCGCAGCGGAGTTGTTTGGCCAATGCTTGAGGCAAACTGGCGGTTGAAAACATCCTCATGTCGTGAGGTGAAAGTCTGGGAGGAGAATGGTCCTTGCTGAGGTAGACAATTTGAGTGAGGAAGATTCAGATCCGGCAAGTGCGCTGCGTAGTTTGTAGCAGTGACCCAACATTCTCGTCTTGGGCTGTGCTGAGGCCTCCCACTAAACAGGTGCTGGGTCCCATCTCCACAGGCCAGCTCCCTATGAGAAGGGGGGCACTCGGCCATCTTACCACAGTGATCTCCAGTGGCTTGATTAGTTCTAAGTGCTCTATGCATAAGACTGAGGAGGAGATTCCCAAAAAAGGGTCTCAGGATGGATTTAGAAAGATGATATAGGGATTATGGTCTGTAAAATTACCAGATCTTTCCAGGAATACTCCAGGTAAGATGCTTAAGCTTTAAGCACAAGTGCCTCCGGACCTGTAACCCATGACCTGAAACCTTCTAAACTTGCTTTATCCCTAGATGACCCTATTTATGCCCTTAATACATTGTAGTTTCCTTTTTATTTTCCATTCCCCCAATATAATCCCTTGTCCCACCTGCGGAACGAATCCACGGATCAGCACGTTGGACGGCACCTGGGCAGAACAAGGGTCGCGACATGCATCAATGACCCCAGAGACATGAACCCAAGCGCAAAAAGCTTGTAAACCAGAGGCTGAAGGCCCAAGAAGGCCCAAACCCGATTGAAGTGTACCATGCCACCTGCTGGGAACAGCGAAGCTGTCGACATGCAACTCTTGGAAAAGCTATAGCTACAATACCCCACAGTATATGCGAAGACCACACCAGAAACTGCCCGACCACATAAAAACTCTCCGGTTCTCGTGGGAATTCCTGATTGCCTTACCGGCACGCGTTCGAAGATCTCCAGCTCATTGCTCCAAAGAAAGTCCAGCGCATCTGGCCTTTGCAGATCTGCAGTAGGTTCTAACGATCTCGTTATAGAGTGAGGTGGGGAATAGGGATGATTGAACAGTCTTACTGGAGGCTAGAGTAGGGAATAAGGGAATACAATAGTCCATATTTCACGTATTCCCGTATTCCCTACTACCCCCCAGTAAGAAAACCCTGCATTGCAAGGGAAGTACGTCCATGCTGTTGGGGCTTACACGAGACAAGTCTCAAGTGGTTTCCCTTGGGTCTGGATACAACTGAGTCAGTGTACCATGCGGAAAAGGTGCCCAACAACATGAGCTCTGTTCCCCAGCACAGCACATCAAAATAAGGTCGTAGAAAAACAGGTATCATATCTTCCCTGACTTGATTCACCCTGCTGCATTTCTTTTCTGAAGACCGCCAGTCGACAAATTGAAAGGCGATGCTTTGAGAATCCAAATGTACTCAAAACAAGCATGGGTCTAGGACTTCCCTATCAACAAGAGTCCAGAGCTGACCCAACATTTCTTAGAGCTTGATGATGCCAAAGTGGCTGCTTGCCCACCGACAGCACACAGAGGAAATCATCGCCGAGGTCCTGCTACAGTATCATATAGGATATGTTTTGATTCGTCTAGCCTCGGCAAAGGCCAAGACATGCTTGCGTTGAAGGCTGTAAACCGAAGTCGAAGACACTCGAGATCCCTCCTTTGCTCATTTACGATCCTTTGAAATGCAAAACCAAGGAGCTCGAAGGCTCAACATTTTCTTGCTTCCAGAACAGTGTATCAGATGTAGAAGATCCTTTCCCCTGTTTAGACAGATACCTCAATAAATGGTTGCGACGTGGAAAAATGCTGGGAAACCCAGAGAGATAGACCCTAAACCCTAGCCATTGTAACAATAAACAGTATAAACTTCATCCCACTGGGGCAGGTTTGGGGCCCTATGGCTTTAGAGGGAGATTATAAGGATCAAGGGTAATAAACATTAAAAAAAAGCATGTTGAAACTTACCCCTCTACAGGGGACTAAAATCCAAAGCCCGGGATCCTACGGATTCATCCAACAGATTATATTGGGTTTATAGTGGGGGTTATTTAGGGATAATGGAAAAGAAAATGGAAACTACAATAATGGGATCATATAGGTCTGAAATAGGAATAACTTTTAAAAGCAGGGTTATATAGGAGTTATATAGGGGTTGTGTAGGGATATATAGGCATACATCGATTCTCAGTACAAGCGCTCTGAAGTCCTTTGCTCCAAGCCGATACCCAAACTCCTACTGACCCCGTGAAACACAAATCCCAAAACCCTGGTAGTTTTTCTCTTTTCCACTATCACTATAGAATCCGTAGATAACCCCTGTGTATTCCCGAGATAAACTTACCTAAGTGGATTGGCACAAAAATTGTGCATTGGACCCATTTGTAATTACTAGGCGCATGGGTTGCGTAGAGCATACTCCCAATTCCAAACTGCCCCCAATTTCTGGACCCAGCTAATTGAATTCGATAAGCTGCAACCAACCGTGACTTAGCCCTTCACGCTTCAAGGCCCGAAGTTTCCTCCAAAGCTGCAAAGAGCGCCTTCCACACGTGCTGGCAGAATGCCTGCGGTAGAGCCCACCAGAAGAACCCCAGGGTTTGGGTTGGAGTCACGCGAGTAGAGATTGTCAGTAAGCGTGCCAATGAGGCTTAACATGTTGAACACAGTAGCCTTTAAAGAGACAGGTTTACTTGAAACCTCCTGTACATGGCAAACCACATTGTGACGTGAGTTGCCGCGAGTATTGATTGGGCATTGAAGCCAATGCAAGCTGCAAGCCTCTAAAACTGAAAACTCTAACTCCCTAACAGAACCTGTTAGCAGCCATTGTGGTAATGCAATCAGCAATCACGCGAGACTTGTTCCGCCATGACACGTTCAGCTTGAGCACGCACGCGTGATGACATCCAGGGTAAAACTTCCTGCTATTGCGCTGACCTGTGTTTGGGTGAGTAATAATAATAGTAGGCATAATAATGTAATAATACTAATAATAATCATAATTAATAGTCGTAAAAAATAATAGTAGTAATAGTACTACGTGTAATGATAATGATAATAATAGCGGTATAGTAATAATAATAATAATAATAATAGCTACAGTAGCAGTTCCCGCCTTACCCGTGGTTCCATGCGGGAGATTGAACCCACTAGCGCGCCCAAGGTCAATGCTCCACCGATCTGAGAGAGCCATGGTGCCTTGGTTAGACACATGTTAATATAGTAGTATGTGGTAATATGTAATAACTCATTTGTAATCATATGTAGTAATATGTAGCAATATGTAGTACTATGCAGTACTATGTAGTAATGCGTAGTAATGTGTAGTGATATACACTAGGAAGTAATATAAGACATAGTACTAATAAGAATAAGCAAGCTGGAAGAACCACCGGCGCGTGACATTCCTCCACATGCGTACTTCTTGGCACGCTTGCTGTTCAGCATAGTCCAAGCATGTCCAAACGCGACAGAACAAAGTTGCACCCTTTTCTGCATATATGTATATGGTTCTAATTACTATCTATTACCATGAATGAATTTATATATCTATATTTCTTCTTAGAATGTTTGCCTATGTCTCTTTGTATATATATATATTCGTTATTGCTGTGCAGTATAATTACTTCGAAAATATTACGATGCATATTACTACATATGACTATAATAACATGGCTTCCGTGGTTTCAGTCCAGGGTTCCCAAGGCGGCGTATATGATCTTCTTTCCCTGGGCCAGCTGGTCGGATAGCTCCGCAACCGGCAAGGAATGTCCAAAACTCCTGACGCCTCCAGAGATCTGACAGTCTATGGGAGGGGCTTGGCAGGTCTTCGCAACGAGTCTGTCAAGTCTTACCTAGAGCAAGATGAGCCATAGTCTAAACTCCTTAGTGTCCCCCCTAATCCCCTATAGCAGTCTCCTATATCATCCCCCGAAGAAGCCCCCTTTATGGAGTTTAGAGACTGTGGCTCAGATACCGTCTAGCAGGCTAACTAACAGCTGTTACGTCACTGGAAGTGCTTCCATGCAAGGTGACAGTTGCTGCTGGGAAGGTCTGTTAGAGTCGTAGATCACCCAAAGAGATTTTTTGAAACCCGGCAACTATTGCAGCAATGATGGGCGCCATCTTCTTCATCGCTACCGTTGCGCACTGGCTGCCGAGCAGCGTGGGATAAAACTGTCGGACCGGGCAGTGATTACGTGGGGCGCGCTGTTGCTCACGAGGCAGCCGACCTCAGAACGGCAGCTTGAAGCGGCTTTCCTGGTTCACCTTCTCCAAGACAAGGCAGAACAACATGTATTTCCCTTCCTCCAGCAAAATGTGGACAGCCCCTGCTTGGCCCCTCAAGAGCAAGCTCATCTGTCACAGATCAACTTGGCAAAGCATCACACAGAACAGTCTGATCATCAGGCCTTTCCAACCTCTGTGTAATCCTGCACTCGTGGGTAGACTTGGGGCCTCAAATAACAAACATAAAGCGGTCAGACCAAACTCTAGCTGTGATCCCAAGTACCTGCAACTTAGTAATAGGCAAAACCCATAAAGCTGTAGGTACCTGGAGTTACACCTAAAGCCTAAATCTTAAACGTCTAAGTTCAATCATGTTCAATCATGAGACCGCAGTGAAGCTGAACTCTGTGCGCAATTCATCGGCCCACTTCTGTTGTCCTCGACATGCATAGAGGGTGTGAATTTGAGAGGGAAAGACGGAGGGGTGAGGGTAAAAAGTCTTTAGGCGGTTTCCCCACAACAAGGCTTTTACGACTTTCGGGTTTTAATTGAGGTCCCTGCGAACTACCATGTAAAGCTGAAGCAGTAGGGCATGGGCGCCATGCGATCTCGGCATGCACATGTGCCTGAAATTCGGGCTGCACAGGATCTGCTGCATTCCAGAGTTCTTAATCCACAAGCTCTATAGTAGGAACCCTATATATACTCCCCTATATAACCCCGTTAAAGGGGATATAACCCCGTTAAAGGAGCTTAGACTGCCGCTCAGATCAGCTCCCTTCATCTCCTGTCCGTTTGCAAAGGCCACCACATGGTATGTTTATTATTGCTATTACTAACTCTTAATGTTACTACTTCTATTATAGCATAGCTTTGAATATCGTATTGCTTTTAAGATAATACAATACTTAGTCGTATTGTGCTAACTATTATTGAAGAAGGTACCCACCAGCTCTTCTCGTATTTGTATCCTCTTGATCGGGTCCATGCCCGAAACCATGGGGGAAAATGCTAGTCAAAAATGTGTGCCCAAAAAATGTTTTCCCGACTATTTGGTGCACAGTGGGTTGCTGCGCTGATCGTCCTGGTGGCGGCAGCTCGGCGACAAGGTCCTCACCTTGGGCTAACTCTTGGGCAAATGCAGAAAAGCGGCCTATACAAAGATGCTGAACGTCATGTTTGCAGATTTCTGGACTTGAAGCCTTTGCAGCATGAACGCTAGAATCAGAAGGAAGGACATCAAGCATTCTCTGCTTCGATTGGTTTCAATGTCCATACGGGGCTGGTGGGCTGCAAATCCAATCATAAAAGCCTAAGCGTCAAGCGCGAACCAGGCATCATCCTGACACCTGGAACCCTTTGTCTTCGGCGCTTCACGGATGGAGGCAAGCTTTACTGTCTGCCATTTCTTAATCAGATTGCTAAAGCTGTAGATGTTGGCAAACCTTCTACTCGATGCTAAGAGGGATAGGTGCCTTTGCGGAGTAATGGACTCTCAGCTACAGGTCCAAATCTGGTCGTATGTTTGCAGAATGCTTGCCACGCAGCAAGTGGTGACAAAGTTTGTCTTCGCATAGTACCTGGCGCAGCGAGAGTCTCATAGGACAATAGTCACTGACATCCGACGCTTTGATGCTCGAGTCCTCAAACCCCTTCCAGAAACAAAAAGCTCTCTGGGCTTTGGTCGGGAAACTGCCGCCGGGTCAGGAAGTGGCAAGCGAGATCCAGGCCGAACTTCTCTTGGATGGCCTGCCCAGGTTGCCCGGGGTCAAGTCAAATAAACAGTCAATTCTTTGTGGTGTATATACGATTACATAAGGATAGTGATCCATAATGATTCGTTTCTTCCCGGCAGGAATCTCCCTGTGCTTGAGGAAGGGAATACATACATAACAGTGCGGGGCACTCGCCTTCGCGTAGGGCGCACGGATGCTTGCAGCATAGGCCAATCGCCCCTCAGCCTCCCAGGCACGCCGGGTCTTCGGGGAAGTTCAGGAGGCCAATCTGCAAGGCTTTGTCATCACGGCCAAGAGGATCCTTTTGGTGGGAGTGAGCTGAGTAACCATCATTCTAAACAATTCTTGTCACTTCCTGCAGTCTTCTATACCCGTATGCCTTGGAAAGAGCCATTCTCACCGTATGTCTTTGATTCCACATAACTCTTGAAGCTCCTGCGGTGTCACAGAGACCGATAACAGTCATCTTGCAATGTACCTTACCTTTCAAAAATGTCGTACGTAATCTTTGCAATGCTCATTTTACTGTCGAATATAAGTGCAGATGGTGGTTGCACCAACACGTATCGAAGATTGCAGGCTTCGCAACCTACGGGCATTACTAGGCCCCGTACTCTTCCCTACTGCCTCCAGCGAGGACATGAGATCGCCAAGGCTCCCCATGCCAGGATACGTGACGAGGGAAGCCTTGGACCGGCCCCTCTCTGGATGAAGCCAATGGGAACTTTGCTCTCTGACCCCAAAGAAGCTTAACGTTTCGCTCGCTGAGCATGAAGTAGGGGAACCTCAAAGGCTTTGAGGTGCTGAAGTTGTGGTAAAATCCCGTTGAGAGAAGTCGACGCTGCAGCCCATTGATGCATGCCCCCTTACAATAACTGTTACCACAATGCTCAGTAGGAGTTGTCTTGGCCCCCTATGAAACCCTTTAAGGACAATCACTGTAAGGGGGAATGGCCCAACGTCTAGAAGTCTGGCGGAAGGTCTAGACACATGGTACGTTCTCAAAGTTATTTTCCTGTTAGGGTCCCCATGATAAGGCGGCACCTAGAGGTTCAATGTGCGCCTGCAACCTGGCCCGTGCCCGAGAATGCCGAGACTTGCTTACCTCTAGATAGCAAGGAATGAAGGAATGGATCCTTATGGTACAGCCTACATAATCCGCAACAAGGTAATTAGTAGTTCCCATTTTCTTTCCAGTAGCTTAAACCAGTCTATACAGATTTCCTGAGCCGAGTAACGCATTGAATGCCAAGCTGGGAGGCAGTCAGCAACCCAAGTGGCACGAAAGGGTCGTAGAGGACGACGCTGACACCAATCCTAAAAAAATTGGCTGGGAAAGTTGTGCATTTCCATGCACGTTGTTTGAGTGAATATTGCCCAGCAAAGGACTTTCTTACATTGCTTTCAGGCTTTACAGGTGTGCTTGGCTGCTCTTTGAGTTGGATATGCTACAAGGAGAACACAACATCGAGTGCTGCGTTCATGTTGGTTCCAAGATCAGCCTGATTTTCATGATTCTTCTGTAGCTTTCGCGATAATCGCGCTTAGCTGTCTTCTGGAAGTGGCACATCTGTGCCGATGCTGTTTCTGCACAGGTGTATGGCCATTTATGCTGCTAGCACCGCTCCAAGCTTGTGCTCTCTGCACTTTCCGTATGTACATGTCTATTCAATTCAGTGACCTTTGTCTGATCCCCATTTTCGTTCATACCCCACAGCATCATCACTAGACTCCCCGCAACCATCACGCTAATCTGCAAAGCTCCCGCGCAAAGTACATGGTGCCGTGTGGGGAGCCCGGAAAATCCTGAGCTGACACTCCGAACTCTGGGCGCAAGGCTGGCGGCAGCGAGTTATCACATGGTCGCCACAGCGCAGGATAGTCGCCAACGGCCAAACGGCCTTCTCCCAGAGGGCTCGGTCCTGCGGATCGTAAGTTGAACATTGTGGATTTGTTGTGTGAGTTTTGCACAGGCCCAGCACGGCTCATGGCGTAGCATTCCTTCGTCAGAAGTGAAATCCATCTGGCAAAGTTTCGCTTACGGGCTTGCAACTCGGATGATTTCGCGCTGTCTGTTCAACAATACCCTGACCACCTGTGGCTACTTTACACCTGGCATCCGAATCTGCGCAGCACATCGTACAGGAACTAGATAAGACCCTATAAATTCCTGTGGTACATAACCCTGTATATCTACTTCTGTATATATATATATACATTCATATTGGTACGAGTAGCTGTGTGTATACAAACATAAGGTCCCTGTAAAAACCTTATTATGTACCCTTATAAGTTTGAGATTTTCCTACCTTCCCGCAAGCCTCCTCAAGGATCTCTTGCACTGGATGATACCTGGGCCGCGGCTCGGGTCTGGTCTTGTGGATCAAGCATACTGTACCCGTGCGAATCGTTTTACGTTTGCGTAGCTCCATGGTGTGCTGCTTGCAAAGTATTGATAATACAGGCACCGACCCTAGCTCGGAGAGATACAGGAAGCCACCACACAGGTTTTGCACGACGTAGGTGCCACACCCACAACTGGAGCAACAACAGACTCAAAGCATCTCAGGAACTGCAAACCTCCAAGTCTAGAAATCCTCTGAGAACAGCTGAGTTGTGTCGGCCTAGACCTCGAACAAAAAGTCCCCGGCCCTGATGTTCAGCAGGGCTGCAGCGGCTGATCGATGCCGCACTTCTCCATCACAAAGTCTGCTGGATCCTGGTCTTGCTCTGGCTTGCTTTGGAGGTCCGACGCCTTGTTAAGCCTGGTTTTTGAGAGTGAGTATGCTTACTGGTTCTAAGTAGGGAATAAGGGAACATAATTCATATATAAACCTTATATAGTATTGTCCCATATTCCGTTCTAAGCCCTGCTTAGCATGGACATCGAGCGAAGGCTTGTAACCTGCACGTCAAGCACGCCAACCTCAACTGCGGTCGGCGCTTCTCGTGTTCCGCTCTACAACGGTTTAAACAGGTTTTGAGCAAACCTCACTGCTCATAGCGCCGCTGTGTACGTGTGTACATAGCATAACGATGAACTATGCAAGGGAATGCCCGAGGGAATTGGGAACGCAGTCTGTTACATTGTACTGATGAATGGGCTGGACTTTGCGCCGTGCTGTCCTCCGGGAGGTATCCTTCCACCACAGCCCCGGACTCAACGGC